TATATATATATATATGTATATATACATACATACATATATATATATATATACATATATATAAATGTGTGTGTATATGTAGGTATCTTGGACACTTTGTTGTCATAAATGACTAGATATTATATTCTGCGACGAATTTCATTGCTTTTCGTCTTTATCGACGAGTCCGCTACTCCTTAAATTAACAAGCCTCTCCCATATATGATATATATGGTGAACTAGTCGGTCGCACATATTATTTCATTCTCACCTGTTGGAGATCACAAATTGGAATTCTATAGGCACGTGATACTCACAGTGGCAAACTTTTAAGTATATTCTCAACTGCATCTCTCATTCCCGCAATGTACAGTTCAGCAAAAGCAGCTGACACCCCAAAGGATAAGCCGCTCACTATCGTAGCTGACCTGCCCATACCCAAAGCAGCCGCATTCACGGATTGGGAAGGGTGTGCGCGTAACGGTACATGCACCAAACCTGAACTCCTGCTCACCAACGATGTCTTCTGCGCAGTTCAGGGCTCATGTACTCCATGTGTTGGATTGGATCTGGTATGTGCGCATGATTGTGTGCGTGCATGTGCGTGTGTATGTGTGTGTGTGTGTGTGTGTGTTGCGGAGACTCTTGACTGTGCGAGATGACACACGTGCGCTCGAGAGTGTCGGAATGGACACGCGGGGAGCGACAGCGTGTGTGTTCGAATGTGGATGTGATATGTGTGATCGTGTAATATGTGAGTGTGATGTGTAATGTAGGGAATGTGAGCGTGCCCTTCCAAACATGGATATGTATCCATGTCGGTGCGTGGATCGATAAATATATATCTATGTGTATATGGTTTTAAAATTTCAACAGAGGGTACGTGTGTGTTGGACGACGCACAGGTGAGCAAATGTACATAGGCAGGTATCCTCTCGAACTGCCAAGTGTTGCCACATTACCTTTGGTACGCCCGTCAACCGTATTAGATAGCTTTCTATCAACAATATCTCTAGCCCATCTGCATCGTATATTGCGCTGGCTTCGTTCGGGGGCGTGTTTAACGTATCGGAGCTTGCTTGATGTACCTACTACATTGACTACTTGCTTTGTCTGGCTATTGATTGGCTCTATTGGATAAATGTCCATTATCCGCAGAAAGCCGCGACCGCTTGTGAGAAAACGGGCTTCCGACATCCTATCCACTGCAACGTAACCACGGATGCCTCAGCGCAATTGCCAACCGAAGAAAGGTACCGTGCTATTATTTGGCTATGTGGTGATACGTGTCCGTGTGGAAATACCTGCACGTAGGGCATGCGTATTCGGCATCTATGCCTGTGAAAATCTGTATCATATATATCGGAAAGCTATCGGATTCCATCGCATTTTTCTATGTTTCACTCTCGTTAATAGCCTCTGTGAGCCTGTGCATTCAAATAATGTGGCATTTCTTTCTGCCTATCCCATATATACACATATGGCCGCTCCCTCTGCCGCTGATCTTCGGTCGATAGCTGTACGATAGTGTCTGACTACGCCAAGTATGCAGTCTGGCACTTTGAGGTATGGCGGTGTCTTGTGGGTTGCGCGCCTTTGTCTGCCAACCAAAATTAGACGCTGCAGGCTTGTATCTAACCCTCCCTGTTTCCCTCCAACGAGTTTTTATTGTGATCATTATCTCCAACGACGTTCGTTAGCGGCCTTGTGATTTCGACCGACTTGGTGTGTCCTTGGCCTAAGATTTGCTTTTGTCAATGTTACAGTGCGACGCCTATCTGATTGCTTGTTTTCACGACATGTTTTTGGCCTATGCAGGCTATCACATTCGGGATATTGATTGTCTCCAACGTTGTTCTGTGGCGGAGGAAACGGCACTTGGCGCGAGTGGTCTACGAGAGACTGGCCAGGCGTGCCGGATGATACCCGTCCTGTTATACTATTATACTCGAGGGCATACGCAGATGCCTGAATATTCAACGCGCGCGTGGACTGACAGTCCTAGCGGGTGCAGTTGCCATAGCTACGGAACGGCACTTGCCACAACAGGTGTACGAAAGGCTTTTCGGGCTTGCTTGATGCTCCTGCACATCCCATAAGTGTTATGACACCCCCGCGTTCCCAGGCACCCACTATACATCGTTGTACCCTCATATTCTGCTCCCCGTATGTAGTGCTCCGGTATTAGTACCACACAAGTGTAGCCCGACCTCTCGCGAGGTGATTTGGATATTCGCTTTTCGTTGAAGTTCTGACCTGTACATCAGAGGCGGTAACAATCAAATTTCACATCTACATGCATACAATTACGGTTGGACTGTGCACAACGCGGCCTCGAGCATGTGCGAGTATCAACGGTGGCGTGTGTCAACGCGCGTGTAGCGCTAGACCGCATGCCTCGGTAGCCATGAAGCAGGATTAGAGGGGGAAGTACTTGGCGAAATTAACTATGCTGATGCAGGATGTGCAAGCGTTTGAAGGATATGGTACATAAATATCCCTTCGTTAGTGATGCTGGAGGACCTTATATGTGAAACATGTACACGAATATCTACTTGTACGCTGGTGACGAAATCCATACCCATATTTAAACAAATATAGTACATATTGATGTCAAATCGACTGTATGGAATAGACATTCACAGATACTCACTATTACCTTTTTACTCATACTTGTCGATAGTATATAGGCTGCCATGCCAGAAGGCGAACCTACTCGACGATATGGACACTTAACAGCAACATGCAAAGCCACAATGATAGAAAATAAACGCGATGAACAGTTACATAAAAGCACACGCGTTCAGAAATACAATTGTAGATACGTCCTTATAACTTCTCATATTTATATATATACATACATACATATATATATATATATATATATATATATATATATGTATATATATATATATATATATATATATATATAATATATATATATATATATATATATATATATATATATATATATATATATATATATATATATATATATATATATATATATATATATATATATATATATATATATATATATATAATAATATATATATAATAACTAA